ATCATCGCGCTCCGAAAACAGCTCGCTGCCTTCTCCGGTCAGAGAAGAGAAGAACTGCAGCAGACCAGCAGCTCCAGCTAGCGAAGACAACCGCGGACTGCTGCCAGCTTCGATCAGGGATGAAGATGACTCCAACTTGCCGGCAGCTTCGGCGATAGCAGAAGTCCACAACGTACCAGCAGCTTTAGCCCGAGCAGAAGCCAATCGCAACTCGCCGCCAACATCACCGAGTGGGCTTTCATCGCCAGTCCAGTCGAACTCTCTTCCGGCTTCGCGAACCAGTATCGGGCACGCAGCGTCATCGCCAGCTTCAAATCTAACAGAAGATGTGGAGGATGTCCAGTCTGCTAAGCGATTTCGGCTACTTGTACGGCCTATTATCAAGAAGACGGTCAGCCAGCGAGATAAGTCTGGCAAAAGACTTGGTGACTTCGTCGCAAATGGTGACACCTTTGACGAGATCATTGAGAAGCTGTGGAGTGAGATTAGCGAGCACGTGAAAGGACTAGCGGTCAATGATGATGGGCATTGGTCCGTCGAGCCCCCCGCGCAAGCCGACTGGGAACTTCTGATGCAATTTAAGCGGGGAAAGCACCTAGTAGACAACACTAAGAACGAGCTCGATTGGAATGACTGGCTAAGAAAATCACGGAAGAAGACCACCATCTTACAGATATTTGAGTACGGATCAGCACTATCGACAGCCAAAGATCGAGATGCCTTCTTAGCTGCGTGCATCCTGCCTGAACAGACTGATCGCGCCGGTGCTACTGCTGAAGGCTCGCTTCGTGACGTTGCTGCTCAATTGGAAGAGCACTGGCGCTTTTCGTTTTCTACAACGACAATTGGATGGCGCTTGTGGGCAGACTACATCACTCGAAACCTGAACCGTTCCACGTGGCAGGAACAAATTGCAGACCCTCCCGGGCCCACCTCGTCCATCTCCTCCATGTTTCAAGATCACAAGTTCAGGATCGAGCTTAAGATCTTACGAAGTCTGGCGAAATGGCGCTAGATTGTGTGCAAGGAAGTTTAGCAGACATTGAAGAGCTCCACCAAAATGTCAACGGGATTCTTCTGCGATTGGAGGCTCAAAAGAAATTCTTGATTTCGAAAAAGAATATTATCCAAGCTTTCCTGGCTGACGTAGACCTCCTGGCTGTTTCCGATGTGATCGATCCATTCTCACGGATGGAAAACCTGGAAGACACCGAGCACCAAGAGTAGGCAGGCGTTTTAATCACCCCCACATTCCTCATCAACTAAATCAAATCCCAGTTCATCTTCTGGGTTGTTTGGCTCCGCACACTCCCCCCAAAACTGAGGCGTTTGTCTCTTCTCCGTCGACATTGGACTACTGGGATCAAAGCGGCCTTGCACGTTCCACCCGCAATGCGCAAACACTTTAGCCATGTTGAAAATGTTCAAATCGTTGAAATGTCTGCACTGCAAACGACAATAAATCGCGGCCGCTGTTTATATTGTAGTGCCGCTGGAAAAACTTCTTCACGTAGCCAAACATATACTCGATAGGGTTGAAGAACGGGCAGTATGCTGGCAGAAATATTGGCACGATACCAATGCTCCTCAAAAAGTGCACGATCTCCGGGTGTCTGTGTATGGAAGCACCATCAAGGATCCACACGGAGTGAGATCCTGGATATTGACGAACAAAATTGCGTTTCGTATACGCAAAGTCCTGGCAGCACTTGAGAAACTCAACGCGATCAAACGTGCCTTGAGTGTCAAAGCAATCAATTAGACCATTAACTCCGATGAAAGCCAACACAGAAACCCGTGGTTTTCGTTGAAAGTCGCCTCGAATTGCCAATTTTTGTCCCTTCAGCGAGTAGCCACGCTTCCTGATCATCCCCCGATTATCAAATGACACTTCATCGAGGAAGACAAGGTTGTGATAGCTCCAGTCGACATGATGCAGTTCCTCAATGAATCGGAGCACATCTTGGTCTTTAATATGCATCGCACGTCGCTCCAATACTTTCCACGTCAGTCCACAGTCGTGGATATTACGCCATACGGAGGACTTCGAGATGGTGATACGGTGTACGCACTGGAAGGCTTCTTGTGCCTCGTCTAGGTAGGCTAGTGGGTGCGTCGAGTAGAACTCACACAGCCATTTGCGGTGCTCATCTGTGAACTTCTTGGCTCCGGTCGTGTGCGCTCTCTCAAACGTTCCGGTGGCTATGTTCGGATCCAGTTGCCGATTGTCGTCTCACTTTTCGTGAATACGAAAGCGAGCTGCTTCCGAGACAATCCATGTTCGTAGAAGGCGTACAAACAGTGGAGCACTGTGTTGGGGTGTGCGTGCCCCTGCGTCACTGCTCTCTCCATGAAGCCTACGCTACAGAGACCGTAGTTAGTAAAGACAACCACTTACAGGCACAACAAGGTAAAATACCTCTTCTTGTAGCGCAAGCTGTAGTCTGAGTTATCGTACAGCGCTCTCGCGCCGTGCGCGCGCCGGTCGTCTCCTTCGACTTCAGCAATTTGAATTATGGCCAATATAATGGGTTAGATTGAGATTTTAGCCAATCAAGGACATTGGGTCGATTTAAAGGCCAATTGCAAAACTGCCCAGCGCATCCAACTTTAGCCGGGATTGACAATATCTCTATATTAGTGTTTATCCATAAACACATTTCCGCTAATAGAGCCACATTTTTGCATGTATTACCCGTATTGTGGTTTTCAAATAATTTTACCGCCCGATTTGCTGTGTTATCTCGGGACCGATTTAAATATATCGGACGTAATTAGGTTCGAATTAGCTAAATGTGACCCGATTTAAGGTCTTAATGATGAGGGCAATGTCATTCCCAGACGACCTTACCTCCCACAGCTCAGATTAACTAATTGAGGAAGAGATAAACACTAAACTTATGCATACTGTAGCGCGATTGCCGAGTAAAATGGTGTTATGATCACCTATGGCGGTTAGACTTCGCTTAATCATAGATTGGAAGTGTCCCTTTCCACCTTTATAATGCGATACCAGAAACACACTTCCTGTTCCTTACCGTGATACCACTCTGTTCCATCTCAAATCTAACACTTCTCCTTTGCTGACATATTTGTTAAACTAATGGTGTGATTTAGCTAAACGAGCCCACTACGAAAAGCCCTGCCTTAGCTCTATAAAGCAGTATTTTTTTGGTAGATCATAGTCAAACAGCAGCGAAGTACAGAGCAAAAGAGCGTCATTCGTTTTGACGGGGTGGACGTCTGGTTTCGCAGTGGGCTTTCCAGTGTTGGAAAATTGCTGAGGTTTTCAGAAGAGATCGATTTTTTACGGTCTTACAAGATGTGAAAACAGTTCTTCAAAAGCTGCTGTCTGTGCCGCGTTTTCCTGAAAAACGCTTTTCATCTATGTATTTACAATCTGACAAATTTTAGATCTCGCAAAAGGTGAAAATAAATAAAACAAGGTGTGTAGAAAAGAGTTCATCATAAAATAAAAGATACTAATTTTGAGTTGGTGGCCCTTCATGTTTTTAAGTGCCTCCTGGCCCTTTTTGCCAAAGGGTCGCAAGGCAATGAGGTTGGAAGCACTCCGTTGCGAATGTGGTGCTTCGAAACTTGGGGGAGTTTGTATGTATCACACGCAATGACAGATTCTGGTATTTTTTGTGCTGTCAAAAAGCACTTATCTATAGTCCTACTACTGTAGAAAGATCACAGTAAGTTTTTTCAGCTTACGCAATTAAAGCATCGATCTTGTACGTTGGTGTGCGGTATTGAGCCGACTGTAGCAAGTTAAACAGACCCAATTCGAGTACGTTCATATCGGGCGACTTATATTTGATAGCGATGTTGACAGCATCAACATTTGTTGTGCCTGCCGTTAGAGCGATCAGACGGCAGCACATCATGCATGGTATCTGCACAGCTGACATGTATTATGTAGCTGGTACCGGTAGCCACAAATTAGAAAATAGCAAATCTCTATTCTTAGCCTAATAATAGCCAATGATATCATTTATTTTTGTGCGGTCGCTCGTTGCGTTAGATTTGAGATGGAACAGAGTAGTACGAACATGCGTCGACGTCTTCTTTTTCATGATCGGGCATGGCACCCCACCAATGACGGGCCATATTTAACAAAGAGACAACTCTCTCGGTACTGTAGCTTCGGGACAACAATTAAACGAAGTATCTCACATGCTGTATTGTACTTAAGTAGTTATCACCATCGAGAATGCACCTTACGATGGTACGATGTGGTCCTTGTTACAGCTTGTGTGGAGCCTGCACGACCTCTTTGATGTAATAATACAAATTTTAAATCGGATTAAGAGGGATATTCGACTCGATTTTGTATCATGGGTGTGAGCAGTTTATCACTATTTGGGATATCACGGTCGAGAGAATTGTCTGTACTTAGTGTAGAGCAGAGAGGGCAAGTTAGGCATTGTCGTGCTGTAGAAGAAGAAGGATTTGAAGTTGTCTTCCGTAGAACTTGATGGCGTGACGTTGGTGGTACAGTATCGCCACTATGCACATACCGGTACTACATGTACTTGAACAGTACATGTACTTCAGTAATATAGAAATCTGCACCATCACAGCTTTCTGTGACGGTGCAGATCTTTCAAATCCAATCTCTGATCTCCATCGAAGATACTTCAGTGATCTGAACTTTGTCTGGCTTCACAAGATTTATTATTCAGTATATTTATAATTCATTTATCTAGGATACTTATTCTACATAGCATTTTCAGTATTTGAGTTGAGGCATGTACTTTTTTAGCCTAAAAATAATACTTGAACGTAATATATTGTACATGTACTTAACACTTTTAGGGAGAATTAATTACGAACACGAAGACAGCCTCCGTCCATCCATCGCAATGGGTCGAAGCAATTCGAACAGCGATCGTCATTGACGATTCGTCAAGCAGCCCGCAGACTCACCAGCCATTTTAACGATCACTCTACGACTTGCGCTCCCTAGCTCACTGCACCAGAATCGTTGATTTACCATGCGAGTATTGCAGCTGATATGCCTCGTTGCGCTCATCTCACGCTGCGCTGCAGACACGGCCACAACCAATTCCCACACAGCCAGCACGTTGAAGATCAATTCGGATGCAGACGCCGTGTCGCGCGTGTTAGCTGCAGACCGCAGGCAAGCTACGCGTTCTCTCCGACAGTTTGATCACGACGAGCTGGCTGGAGGTGATGCCGAAGATCAAGAGAGAGGCATCAGTATCTCAGGTCCGGTAGAGAAAATGGTAACAAAATTCCGAGACGGATTGAACGCGGTGTTATCAAAGAATCCAGTACGTCTGCGTGCGTCGCTTGTGGAACAACTATCGAAGACATACTCATACGCTGATAAGTTGAGCACCTCAACACTGAAGCAGCTGGAGCACATTGAGAAATTGAGAGCTGCGGATATCAAAAAAGGTGTTAAGGGCTCCAAGGCAACGCCTGGTGGTATGCGCAGGAATGTGGAACCATTTCCAGGCATGAGCACGGTTCCTAGAAAGTTTCTCGAGTCCCACGTGGGTCGTGACGGTCAACGTTTCGGTAAAGATGGCAGTCGGTTGCTGTCTGCTGGTGTGGTTACACGTTTTAACGACAAGGGCGAGCGTGAAATGCTTATGATTTCGAGCTCAAATCCGAAAAAGAGAGAATTTCTGCCGCCTAAAGGTGGATGGGACAAGGGCGAGGACATTAAGACGGCAGCGCTGCGTGAAGTTATCGAAGAAGGAGGGGTGTGTGGACAACTTTGGTCAATTTTGGTTGTTGATATGTTGACTTACTTGTGACGCTGTAGGTGAGTGCTCAGCTTGCACATGGCCTGGGCAAGGTCAGGCTTCAAGATGGTGACAATAAATACACCTACTTCGCGTACCTGATGAAAAGCAACAAGGTCTACGACGATTGGTCGGAGAGCACTCGTTATCGTCTTTGGGTATGTGTGGCGGGGGGGATTTTGGATTGGATGTTCGAGTTGGACTGATATGTTTGTTGTTGGACCAGGTTCCAATGGACGACGCGGTTGAAATGCTCGGCAAGCGCCCCCAGTTGGCCGAGATTGTAAAAAGGGCGAAGTTCGTCGATGCCAAAATCGCTGCTGGGAAAATGCCAGAGTTAAACCCGAGGCTTTCTCAAGTCAAGCTTAAGACGAGCTAAGATGCCGCACATGAATCAACGTCAGAACGTCTCTCAAGCATTAAAAGCGTGCTTTCGCTTAGGTCTGGTAACGCGATCATATTGATTGGAGACGCGCCTGTTATTGAGTTTACCCATTAAATTGTCAGATCATGAGTAGATTCTAGAAATCCACTTACACCTTCAAAACTACACGTAATATTTGGTTCTCGCCAATAAGCTCCCACAATACCCAACGGGTGAGCGGATACTCAGTGCAGCAGTAATTGTCAGACCCCCCTCGCACTACCGATATTATGGTCCTAAGAAAAAGATGGTAGGGCTATGAAGTACTGTACTTAGTTTCGGTTCAGCGAAGCCGGCCGGGTGGGTGGGTGGGTGTCTTCAAATTGAACTCCAAATTGGAGACGCTCCATTGTTGTTTGCACACTTGTACACGTGAATTCTAGTAATGCAGAAAACTACCTCTGGTCCAAAGGTATTGTTGCATGTTTAATTGACAGCTGTGGGTAGCTCACTCGCCGAGCTGGTCCCCCGCTTCAAGGGACACATCGGAGATGCTATAATAAGTGTGGTGAGATCTAACGAGGAGAGGGTGATTAATTAATTTAAAGAAGCTTCTTTGTATTATCGATATCTACTTTTTCTAAGAGCAATTTTCCATTATGTTCTCAGTGCGCGCCAGGTTATTATGACCACCTACGTTTTGACCTGTAGTTTTACGAGTAAGCTGATTCAGTCGCCAAACGCAGTTCGGGACTTGTTTTAACGCGTGGGATATCGCAGTTTAGAGATGGGCTTGTATGCAAGCGACCATTTTGGTCGTCGCGACCATCAATATGACTACCCGTACCCATCCAAAAACCATGTAAGAAGAATGATGGTTAATGTGACGGGGTCACGCAGCACCTTGCGCAAGAGGAAGTTATCTTCCGAGAGTATACAAACTCTCAGTGAACGGCAGTTCACAGGTCCCCTCTTTTATTAAAGAGAGCGAAGTGACCCAAATAAGGTAGATTGTAAGCTGAGTATATTTATAGGTAGATTAAGTTTGGGTTTAATACAAACTGTTAGTTACCTATAGAAATGCAATGTCATTTAACCAATGGTTGGCTTTGAACGACCTTGGTACCTTGTACCAAATATCTCGGAGTATGACGTGTCATACTCCTGAAGTGTGAAGTGTCACACTTCATGTAGCCAGGGTACACTTAGGGCTACGTACCCTGTTACATCCCCCCCCACTTAGGCTCGGTTTACCGACCAATCTGAATGAAGAGGTGTTCATCACAAACTCTCATTCTCAAAGTCGAAAACCATCGACGTGGCCGCGCGAGCGCGGCGGAGGCTCACTTCACAGTTAGAGCCTCGAGCAGCAACCTGTGCGCTCTTCGTCTAGGTCTCCACTTCGACCGTTAACATGCCTCATGGCACTACTAAGAGCGGTGCTAAGACACGCTCCAAGGCTGCAGCCGGTAAGGCGCAGGCCAAGAGCACTAAGCCTCACGGCAAAGGCTCTGCACTCAAGGAGGCTACTCAGGTGGCCTCCGAGGCGATCGGTTCCTCGGGTGACGCGGCTGCGGACAAGCGCGCAAGCAGGCGCCGCAGTCCGTCACCCTCGTCTTCAGACAACCGTCCGAACCCTCGGTTCGTAGAACGCGAGTTCAACTCGGGCAGTGAAGACAATGCCGAGTCCGAGAGCACTCAGGATGCTCCTGCGGGCTCTGTGGGAGGGCACAGCTCAGTGCCCAGTGAGCACAAAGAAGGCAGCGTGCTGTCGCCCGCTAGTGATCACGGTGATCACAGTCCCAGGACCTCTGTGCGCTCTGAGAGTCCGGCCGTTAAGGCTAAGGGCGCTCCCAAAGCCGGTGGCGATGAGGAAGAGAATCCTCGCAAACGTCTCTCGCTTGCCGAGGGTCTTGCGCGCGCTAAGGCCTCTAAATCCGAAGGCGCGAAGCCCTCAAAGAAGCGTACCGCCTCTAAGTCTCCACTCCGCGAGGAGAAGGAGACTCGACGCTCCTATCAGAGTCTTATCGGCTCCTCGGATGAAGAGGAGGAGAAGGAGGAAGAAGAGGAGGAGGAGGGTGCTATCGTTGAGCCCCGGGTGGTCTCGAATGACCTCGACCAGCAGCAGGAGGATTTCCAAGCTGCCCAGCGTGTGCGTGGGGGTTCGGTGGCGGCACCCGTCAGCCAGGGAGCTGCCATCAACTCAAGAGGGTATTGGCCTCCCGAGGAGAGCTCTGGGGCTGACCTCTTCTTAGAGCTTCTCGTCGCTCCTCGTGGCCTTGTGGGCGGCCACACTTCTAGGGGCATCTATGAACGAGCCCTTGTTCAGAAAGAACAGTTGTTCGTCGACAACTTGGAGGCTGCTCGGTGTGTGCTTCTCGCGCAACACCGCATTCCCCTTAAGGACTTCACGACTTGTCGTAAGAAGCCCGAGACCCGGGGTGGTCGCTATCCTGTTTGGGGATACCCCTGGGTTATGCCCGAGAACTGTCCCACGTGGAGTTCCTGTGAGGACATGTTCTGGGCGTGGGTGGAGACTCTCAAGTACTCGCCCACGGAGTTATGGGAACTCCATGAAGATCAGCAGCTGTCCCACATCCTGGACCAGCGTGATCTTCGTGTGAGGTTTGCTCACTTGATCAGCAAGCGTATGCTGCCAAGGGACATCCTGAAGCGCGCGGCTTCTAGCGCTCACGATGAGCGCGGGTACGGTATGTATTCATCGACCGTACCCCGTTCGGGCAAGAAGCCCCGGACTACTTATGAAGCTGCCGCCGCTTCTGTTCCCAGATTGCGACAGCCTTCGGGCAGTCAATCAGAAGCCGTTCAATCGGCTCCCACGAGTTCTCGGAGTGGGCATAACCCCTCCACTTCACGAGGAGCTGTCGCTTGCCGCGACACCGTTGCTCCTGGAGGATCCGCTTCACGTGGTAGTGGGCTTCTCCATTCCGGTCAAGCAGGGGCGGAGGTGCCCTCGTACGAGTACGAGTACTCGGCGCCTCCCGAGAGCCACTCTCGTCCGAGTGCTCCGACTGCGGGTCCGACACAGGACCCTGAGGTTGACCGCCTCCGTCAACGTGTCCTCGTGCTTATGATTGCACTTGGCCTTGGGACTGGCGGTAATGCTGCCGCCCAGGCCGGGAATCAGGGCGAGCTCGCTCGTCTTGCGGGCCGCCTGGACCTGGTGGAGCGAGAGGTCGCGAGCCTGCACCTGCGGGTGGATCGCCGGGCCTCTTCGTCCAATCTGGACGAGACCTTTCGCATGATCCGACGGATCGAGGCTTTGTTGCCACGTCCGGAGCCGCCTGCGGCACACTCCCAGACGTACGCGTATGGTGCGTACCCGGCGTACTCAGCGTACTCGGCGTATGGCGCCGGGGTCCGTTCGTATGGAGCCCCTCCGACGTACGGTCTTGACCGCAGCCTTGCCGTCCCGACCGAGACTTGGGTGCCTGCTCCGACGCCCTCGTCGACGACTGTGACCGGCCCTCGCTTCGAGGAGCTGGGTCAAGGGGGATCTGCGAGTCAGCAACCCCCTGCGGATCAAAGTACCGCTTAAGACGTCCGACATAGAACGTCGGGTGCGTCGTCATTGACTTTGGAAGGTCGATGGTGTACGACGCACCATGTCTGGCCAGGACTGCAAAAGGTCCGATGAAGCGGTGCTTCAGCTTGTCGCTGCCGACAGAGCTAACAGTGTCTAGAGGTAGGTTCCTCGTGTCTAGTAACACTAAGTCACCAATCTCAAATATACTTAAGTTTCCTCTTCCTTGTTTGTCCGAGTACTCCTTTTGTTTATCTTGGGCCGCTGCCATGGCATCGCGGACCCTGCTGACAATGTTCAGCTTGGTATCCATAAAGGATTCCACCTGTTTCCGCAGCGAAACGGCCTCACATCCGAGACCTGGGAGGAAAGGGCTTTCCGAGCCTCTCCCCCACTTAGAATAGAGGAGTCAGTGTTTCCTCGAAGAGTGAGAGGCACTCTGGGGTGGCGGAAGCCGTTCAAGTAGAACGGCGTGAACCCCGTGGACGCGTGCACCGCGTTGTTGAGCGCAAACTCAACAACTGGAAGCTGCGTCGACCACGTACGTGGCGCTGCCGCGCACACACTGCGCAGAGTGTCCTCGAGCACTCGATTGACGCGCTCTGTTTGGCCGTCTGTCTGCGGATGATCCGCAGTGGACATCTGCAGACGAGTTCCCAGTAAAGGGAACAGCGTTTTCCAAAACGCAGCAGTGAACCGCGGGTCTCGGTCCGAGACAATCGTCTCCGGGAGACCGTGATAGCGGAACACGCCATCGACGAACAACCTTGCGGTTTGTTCGCCCGTTACAGTGACGGGAACTGGAGCAAGATGTACCATCTTGCTCAGCCGACACACGAACACCAAAATTCCGGTGTTGCCGTGCTTGTCGGCGGGAAGCCCAAAGATGAAGTAAAGACTCATCGACTTCCAACAATCAGCCGGTACGGGCAGGCTCTGTAGTGGAGCCGAAGAGTGCCCTGCGGGTTTGACCCGCTGACATGTTTCGCATGTCTTGACGTATCGGGCGACCCACTTGTACATGTGGGTCCACCAGAAGGACTGAGAGACCGACAGAAAGGTCTTCTCGCGGCCCAAGTGGCCGCTGGAGGGCGCGTCATGCGC